CCCCCCCACGTCTTTGCAGTGCATGATTCTTAGTTATATCTTAGTTAAGCTCAGACTATTCCTCCCCTCCCCCCCACGTCTTTGCAGTGCATGATTCTTAGTTATATCTTAGTTAAGCTCAGACTATTCCTCCCCTCCCCCCCACGTCTTTGCAGTGCATGATTCTTAGTTATATCTTAGTTAAGCTCAGACTATTCCTCCCCTCCCCCCCACGTCTTTGCAGTGCATGATTCTTAGTTATATCTTAGTTAAGCTCAGACTATTCCTCCCCTCCCCCCCACGTCTTTGCAGTGCATGATTCTTAGTTATATCTTAGTTAAGCTCAGACTATTCCTCCCCTCCCCCCCACGTCTTTGCAGTGCATGATTCTTAGTTATATCTTAGTTAAGCTCAGACTATTCCTCCCCTCCCCCACGTCTTAAGGTCCCCTAGCCTAATTCTGCTGACCACAAACTTTTAGTTATCGTTTACATAAAAACTATCAAGAAGTTTATATCGCAGTTTAGATGGAAACGTTTTGGATTTTTGGCAGTTTTTTTAGCAATTTTTTGGCTTTCCACCATTTTACGAGAATAATCTGGTGAAGCCTTGTGGCCATTCCCTTTTCTAGAAAAAAAATCAATTTCTTAGACAAAAGTGACTCCTAATTTTCAAAACCTTATCCATCCACTGAGTATAAAGGTTTATTTATTACTTCTAATTATCATGGTGTTCTCAACGTGTTATAGGGGTATTTTGACCAGGACCCTACCGGGAAAACGGAAAAATTAGATCATTAGACCCAACCGAAATTTATCTTGAAACTAATCTGAACGAGAGAGCGTACTAACGCGCAGAGTTTTGAAGAAGCTCGCTTTGTAGCTTACTCTGAGCATGAGGATAACTGATTGGTATGTTTTAACGCCTGTACTGAAGAGAGCCGGTTGACGGATTTATTCTTGGGGGGTGGGGTGGGGATATAAAATTATTGAGGCTTTTTCCTAATGAGTCAAAATTAGAGCAAATTGTGCCGTGTACTCGGGGCTTTGTCACAAAGGAAAATGCAATTACAGATCATTTTTTTTCGCGTTTGTAGCAAATTTTTGCGGTTCTAGCAAACTCGTGCAGTTTTTGCCTTTGTGATCATGTTTTTAGCAAAATATAGGTTAAGAGCACCTATCAAGCACGAAGTAGTCAATTATTTCTTAGGAAAATACAATTTATGTAAATTTCGTGAATGTTTATCAAACTTTTGAAAGCATTATCTGCCATTTGACAAAGTTTCGTGAGCCTTTTGCGGATAAAGGATAATTGGCAAAAATGATCTCCAAAAAAGGCCATCTTCGTTTCTTTACTCTTCAGAGTTAATTTCCTTGAATTTCGCCCATATTCGTGAGTAACTTTTAAAAGCTAATTTTCAAGCGTTATTTCTTTGGGGATGTTAGAAATCATTGTGAAGAACGAACAATATTCGTTTTAGTTAACGTTTACATAAAAACTATCAAGAAGTTTATGTAGCAATTTAGATAGAAACGTTTTGGATTTTTGGCAGTTTTTTAGCAACTTTTTGGCTTTCCACTATTTTACGAGAATAATCTGGTCAAGCCTATGGCCATTCCCTTTTTCAGAAAAAAAATAAATTTCTTAGACAAAAGTGACTTCTAATTTTCAAAACCTTTCCCATCCACGGAGTATAGAAAGGTTTGTTTATTGCCTTTAATTACCATGGTGTTCTCAACGTGTTGTAGGGGTATTTTGACCAAGACCCTACGGGGAAAAGAGAAAAATTAGATCACCAGACCAAACAAAAATTTATCTTGAAACTAATCTGAACGAGAGAACTAACGCGCAGAGGTTTGATGAAGCTCGCTTTGTAGCTTACTCTGAGCATGAGGATAACTGATTGGTACGTTTTAACGCCTGTACCGAGGAGAGCCGGTTGACAGATTTATTTTTGTTGGTGGGGGGGGGGGTGAGGTATACAATTATTGGTGTTTCTTCTAATGAGTCAAAATTAGAGCAAATTTTGCGGTGTTCTCGGCACTTTTTCACAAAGGAAAATGCAATTACAGATCATCTTCCGGCTAAATTTAAGTGAAACTTTGGAATGATTATTTCCAATTGTTATGCTAATTTTATTATATGTCTTACAAAGAAGTTACTTGTTTAAAGGCTGACAATTCATTACAGTTTGGACCGTGGGTTTTGTTTGTTTTCAAAATCAAACAAAGTATTTTTTTAATTCCTTGTTAAACCCCAAACCAAGTGTTCTTTTTTTCTTGCGGGGTTTCAAACGTGAGCGGTTGGTCTTCAATACCGATATGCTTATTGCTTGCTTTGCGATTTATTTGTCAAGTTTGTCAAATTTACCGATATGCATACTTCGGAGGCCATTGCGGGAGATCCATTTTAAAAAACAGAATACCTCCTACACAGTTCAATTTTGCAATTTTCTTTTTTTTCTTTTGTTTTTTTCAACTTTAAAGCTGCTTAAGCACGCCGCGACAAAACTTAATAATTGCTGATCGAGTGCGAGCAGCAGAGGTTGCCCGAACCACGAGCTTTATCCGTTTCGGTTTCCGTCGTTCTGCGTCCAATTTCTTTACTTCTTGTGCTACTTTCATTTATGGACTCTTCTCCTTTTACCTGCCTCCGTTTACATTCTAGTCCTAGACGCAGAGAGATAGCAAAGATCTCCAGTAGAAACCAAAGTCAAGAGATGTTTACGGGATTGAAATTAAATGATAAAACCCATCGGGAGTCATTTGTGTCTACGTGTTATAACTGGTTATTCACACTTTTCGAATTCAGTTCGAAAATACGTTTTTGTAAATAACTCGGGTGCGTTTCAATATTTTACCAAAATTTTTCTTGGAAACTGTAGTTATGATAATTGGTCCTCGAAGGTCTACCGTGTCCTTAATTAGTTTTGACAAAGAGAGTCCCGGATCTGTAATTGAAATAACAAAAATTATCGATGTTAAGGCATACTCATGGTTTGTATAACAACTTAAAACAAAAATTTAAAACTCATATTAGCATTTTAATTACCAACACGGGGAACAAGATGTTTAATTTAAGACATAACACACAACTTCAAACCCCACATTACTTTCAGGTCTTACTTCAGAGCTGACACAATGGGCTTAAGCGCCAAACTCATTGCTCTATTAGAAGCCATTGTGCTTTTTGGTAAGTACCAGATTAAGTCAATCCAATTATAACAAAAGTGTATTAAGGGTTTTTTCTCTCGTCACAAACTTAATTGGCGAGGAAAGGCTTAAAGTGTTGATAGCATATTTATGGTCGAAGGGCTTAGAATCTGATTGCTGATTGCCAATTAGGTATATGCAAACTGCTGTTTAGCCCATCTCAGTCACGTAAAAATATTTAGCCCAATACGAGTAAAATCCAAAGTTCTTTTACATTCCAACGAAATGCATTTGTTCCAGAATCATTTGCGGTCTGTTTTATGACTTTTATCAATTCACATGAAGTCCATGCATGTACAGTCAAAAGCGTGGTAAAAACCTAACCGGAGCCATTTTAAAAAATGCGTACAAATTTTAAAACAACAAAATAGCGGGAGATTAATCGCATGAAACAGAATGGTTCACGAATCACGTTTAACTCAGCTCTTCATTCACGGGTCATGTTTGGATAAAAAAAAATTCGTTTACGTGGACAGAAAAGATCTCATTATTTTTAATCACGATTCCCGAATAAAGAAAATCAAATCATGATTCATGAGAAAAAAAATCGCCCAATCACGCTTTACTAAAGTCATCTTGGGCGGCAAATATTTTCAACAAATATTTATAGCAATAACACCTACAATATCTCATTTTAAAGTGTATAAAATGGGCTCTAACGGAATTATAAATTTCATCATTGAAACCTAGGACTTTCCTGAAAAAATAGGTTTAAAACAGAAAATAAGCAAAAAAAAGTGAAAAACGCAAGGTAAAAGTCACTTATCCTCATAAGTATAGGTTATGAAGATTATCGATAAAACAAGCTAGTTACCAATTATTAATCTGAAAGAAAAAGAATAAATATTAAATTTTTTATGAATTATTATGTGCGCCTATGTCATTCAAGAGAAATTGAGTAAAAAACGCAACATTCGTCCGCATTCAGTTTTTAATTAATATCTCAAATTATTTACAGCAATAACACTCTAAATATCTCATTTTAAAGTATATAAAATGGGCTTCTCAGGAAAATAAACCTTTTTTTCATTAAATACCAGGACTTTCCTGAAAAATATATTTAAAAGACAAAATTGGTAAGAAATAGCATAAAACTTGAGGTAAAGTCACTTATCTTCATAGGTATAGGTTCCTGAAGATTGTTTGATAAAAAAGCTAATTATTGACATTTCAGCAACAATTCCTGAAAATTTGAAAGAAAAAGAATTATTAGCAAATTTTTTATGAATTTCTAAGTGCGCCCACGTCACTCAGAAGAAATTCACCAAAAAACGCAACCATTGTCCACATTCAGTTTTTAATTAGTATCTCAACAAATATTTACAGCAATAACACCTACAAGAACTCATTTTAGAGTGTATAAAATAGCCTTTCCAGAAAAATATAAATTCTATCATTGAAACTTAGGACTTTCCTCAAAAAATAAATTTAAAAGTCAAATAGGTTAGAGATAGTGTAAAACTTGAGGTAAAGTCACTTATCTTCATAAGCAGATGTTTCTGAAGATTGCTTGATAAAAAAAGGTTAATCATAAACATGTCAGCAACAATTGCTGAAAATCTGAAAGAAAAAGAGTCATTAGTAAATTTGTTATGAATTTTTAAGAGCGCCCATTTTATTCTTAAGAAAAAGTTTTCATTGTTTTATGTTTTGCATTTTGTTAATTTTTTTGTTTTGTTCGTTTTTTTAATATTTTTGAGAAACGCAACATCTGAAAACAATGGAAAAAAAGTGAGCAAAGTGTTTTAAGTATGGCAAATAGGGAAAAATCTAGGTATGGTACTACTCAGTATGAAACTCTCCGAAACAATCGTAACCATCGCTAATTATAACATAGCCAAAGCAAAGTGCGCGATCTAATTGGTCAATTCAGCGTCCTCCATTTGCCCATGGGTGTACGCTGCTGACGTGAGCAAATGCAAAGACTATTTTTCCGCGCGCGCTTGTTTTTTTCTGGTCACGTAAGATTTGTTAAATAAAAGGGAACTCTTTTGCTACAATGTATCAGTGTTATGTTATAAAACAAATGGTAAACACCACAGCGTACACTATTGAGTTATGGATGCACTTGGGAGGTTTGCTAAGCACTCAAGAAGCTAGAGTCGCTCTCGGCTATCGCCTCGCGCGACTCTTACGCTTCTTTCGTGCTTAGCAACCTCCCGCGTGTATCCATAACTCAATAGTGTACGCCATGGTGTTTACCATTTGTTAACATGCATATACTCCTGATATTGATGGGGTACTACATTGAGACCGAATCTTAAATTATCCCCTACCCTGTTAATAACATACCTCACAGCGTCTCTGAGTATCAGAGAAAACTGAAATATGGACAGTTTTAAACTCCCCTGGGGCAGGACTGGATTGCTAAACAAGTAGATTCCCTTTCCCAACGCATGCTGCCCCTTTCTTTCCCCTTAGCCCATTCCTTGCAGTTTTTGAGCACAGATGGAAAGTCTCTCTTTGTTTCCATGATGGTACCAGTGGCAAGGACTCCCTGGGCGAACAAATCTTTGAAAAATTTGACCGATGTATAAAAGTTATCGACAAATGGTAACCCTGATTTAGAAAAGGCTTTATAAGTGTCATCACTACATCATAACCAAATGTGCTAGTTTCCTGCCCTGTGGCTTTACCAATGTAGACATTGAAGTCTACAGTGTAGCCATTGAAACTCTCAGGCAATACCCACAATTTAATACCCCATTTTGTGGGCTTGTCTCTGATGTACTGACGTATACCAGACCTGTGGCGAGACATAACCATACACTCATCAATGGCAACATTTTGTCTGGGTTGGTACAGGGCAAGACACCTAGATTTAAAATAATCAATAAAGGACTTAACTTTACCTAACTCATGGGACTTATCTTCTTTAGCGGGATCTAACACATGCATCATGGCCATTAGGGCTTTGAATCTGGTTCTGGACATTGTTGCTCTTGGCCAGAGACCATGATAGAGGGTCTTCATGCTCCAATACTTGTCAACATCACCAATCTTGACAAGCCCCACATAAATGGAAGAGCGATCAGCCGCTTGATTTAATCGGCTGTGGTCTCTTTCAAACTATCATCAGGGCTTGCATAAAAAGTGTATATATGCGACCCTCTTCTTCGATCGTAATCGTTTCTCGTTTAATTCTGGTCCTCCCCTATCTCGAGTTTTCTACGGTCAGTATGATGAGTGCTCTTGGTTCTCACGGAAAACACTTTTTTTTTCCACGAAGGAATTTAATGAGAAAAGGCTACATTTGATCCCTTTGTGTCTCGTTAAAGTTTCAAATTCGACTTAAGTTTTTTAGGGTGGAAGAAAGAACTGTAGGCTTTATACACGCCGTTACCGTAGACAAACGTCAAACTCTCATAAGTTCAAAACATAAATTTGAATCTACTTACAATTACTTTCCATTTCACTTATTGATAGACTAATCGTCGATGGAAGATCATAGATTGTTTTTGAAGAAAAACTTGTCGTGAGAGTCATTGAAATTGAGTTTGTTTGCCTCCAATAACGTTTATTTTTTTTTTAATTTCTTTAATTTTTTTTTTCAACAGTGTACAAGCGCTTTTACTTGCAAAAAAAGTTCAAAACTGTTTTGGAAGACTTTTAAATCACCTTCAAAGAAGTTTCGCTGAAGCTTGTCAATTTAATTTACAATACCGCTTTTTTCTCTACCATTTACTCGCTGAAAAACTGTTCACTTTATGGAGGATCTTGCCGTAATTACATCCTCTTAGCAAGCATTTCTTTAAGTTTTAGACAAAAAAAAATATTATTTGCCAGGCTAGGTCGGCCTGTATTGGGAAAAGTGTGCCCTCTTTCTCGAGTACCGCCCGAGGCCGTAACATATATAAGTAACATATATAACTTGCGATTTCGATTTTGTGTATTTTTTCACACATACTGACACATAATCACGCTAACAAAAAATTAACGAAGCAAGATATATGTGGCTTAAGAAAGCCAATAGGAGTTATTTGGTGAGTCACCTCGGGGAAGGACTGCGTCACGATATTTAGTTGTTCGAATTGCCTTTCTTTTTCAAGAAAATGCCAAATGAACGATTCCCCAAGACAAATTAAGAAACAGAATTGAATAGGTTTAGGAAAACCTGATTATACCTGATTATCACTTGGTGAGCTTACATTTCTCTTTTGTTGTATTTCTCCCAGGATATGTGCATGGAGGTATGTATTAAAACAAATATTGAACAACCAATAAAAATCAAAGGATATACTAGGATGATGCTTATTGCAAGGGTATGGGCTGATTTTTTTACAGAAATGGAAGATACTTTGAAAACACTCTTTAATAGTACAAAAAATGGAAGAGGACTTGATCCTTTAATTCAACTAAAAGAGGAAACGATGGAACAAACATTTACTAATATGCTTATAGCAATTGGTTAGATAGAAAAATTAAGACGCCAATCATCTGACAGAAATCCTTTCAGAACTCTTTTTCAAATTGCAGACTGTAACTCTCCACTTGGTCTCCAAAGCGGGGATATTCCCAATTCGGACATCACCGCCTCCTCCGAGGTAAGGAACTTAAACAAACTTGAGGCATTCAATTCTTAAGAGTGGCTATTTTTTTCTCTATCTTAGAGACACAACGAAAAGGTTGTTTATTGGTCTAGACACAGGTGTTTGCAGTAAATGGCTTGAACCCGGGGGTAACATGTGAAAATGTAGTGTGATCGTCCGGGTGAGTGTAGTCCTGAGAAGGACTGTTGTCGGTGGTAGTGACTGACGTTTCGACAACCTGTGCGGAAGTCATCATCAGAGTCAAGTGAATAGTTATTGTCACCGACCCACTACCACTATTGAAACAAACGAAACCGCAACCCCTACGACTACAGCAACCATACCGTACATAAAAGATGTGACTGAGAACATCTCGCGCATCTTACAACCCTTCAATATCCGCGTCGCCCACAAACCCATCACCACACTAAGTCAGTTATTAACCAACGTTAAAGACAAGGATGAACTGAGGAACAGTCAGGGAGCAATTTATAAGATCAATTGCTCTGACTGCCAAGCCTCCTATATCGGTGAGACTGGCAGAAACCTCACAACAAGACTGACTGAACACAGACAGGCGACGAGAAAAGGTGATGTCAACAATCACATTACTGAACATCATCGACTTACCAACCACAACATTGACTGGGACTCTGCGCAATGCCTAACCTATAGCACGGACTACTTTCAACGACTGACTCTGGAAAGGTGGTTTACTAACTTAGAACATACTTCCTTCAGCAGGTGTCAACTACTCCCGGTTCCATACAAACGACTCATTCACGACATAAACATTACAAACGAACCGAACAGAACGACCTAGCTTTACCGACGGATCGAAACAGACCAATCACGTCCGACTTACGCCACTTGAGTCTTACAGCCAAGAACATCACGGCAAACTTACCAATCATTTTACACGAACTGAAATAAGAACATTCCACTGACAACAATTATTCACTTGACTCTGATAATGACTTCCGCACCGGTTGTCGAAACGTCAGTCACTACTACCGACAACAGTCCCTCTCAGGACTACACTCACCCGGACGATCACACTACACTTTCACACTGGTGTTTAGTCACAGAACAATTCATTACCTGACTCCTGTTTGTTATGTCCAAAGAAGTTTGTGCCCCCCCCGTCTTTTCTACTTAAAATGTATCATCTTAACCGCACAACAGGAAAGCTACCTCTTCGAGGCACAATTTAAGGCCATTATATTTTATGAAATAACATAGTTATTTAGCACTAACCAATTGACATATTTTATCCATTCCTAACACTGTTAATGGCCAATTTAATGATTTTCAAAGCAAACAGACTTCAAATCCGCTGTTTGATTCTCTAGAGAGCCATCAAATGGTCTGAAATAGCGCAGCAAGACCAGAAATTTTAGAAAACTCCTTCACATTCATTTAACCCTCCTTAAAAGCTGTTTTTTTTTTTCGAGCTTTTGATTGTAAAATGGAATCGGGAAAAGGGGAAATTTCCATATCCTCTTTAAATAGTTACGCTCCTATTACTTTGCAAACTAGAGATGTGCATTGGCCAACTCTGACGTCAAAACCTTCTCGACAATAAGTAGAACAGAGGGAAGACAGAACAAATCGGATCGAGTTCGATTAAACTCAATAATTTCTGTCGCCCACCACTCTTTATTTATTATTACCCATTATTTCTCATAATGATATTTAAACTAAAAGTAATATTTCAATTCTCTCTACAGTGGGCTGCAAACCACGGGCCCAGCAATGCAAGGCTCAATCGTCCAGCTGGTGGAGGTAAGACAGGAGCTTGGTCAGCTAAGGCAAACGACAAGGGACAGTGGATTCAAGTGAATTTTCGACAACTGACTCGTGTGACTAAGGTGGCAATTCAAGGAAGACAAGAGTATCCGCAATGGGTTACTGCTTTTAAAATATCTTACAGTCTGGATGGAAGAAACTTTCAATATTTGGAGAAGGTATTTGAATGAGATAATCAACGCCATGATGAGGACTTGCTGTGAAGACAAAGTAATGTGTGATTGCTCAAGAGATGGTTATAACGAATCAATGACTTACCTACATGCCTTTTACAAAATAACTGAGATTGTACAAGCGCTCTTTCATTACACCGGTAAATCGCTGGATAACGCACTAAAAGCAATAGAGTGCACTTTCTATCGATCGTTTACCGAAAGAAAGTGCAGTTTATTGCTCAAATGGACGTACCTGCTTGTCTTTATATGTAACTTTTTCGGATAGAATGGGATGAAGTGTATTAACGCAAACTCATTTTGCTTGAACAGTTAGCACATAGACGACGTTGTCCATATGGCCCTCAAACGCGTCTGCCAAAAGGGACACAGCCATCGTCGAAAGCGATTGAAAATCTCAGATGTTTACATGACTATTCTTTCTTAGAAACATATTTAAACGAAAATAATTCCATTAGTTCTGACCTGGCTTTTACTAGTCTGAATTAGTTATCGATAGACAATGACACAGACTACAATCGAGAGATTCATTTGACTGCTTGCTATCCATGCTTCTAAGGAAATCCCTCATAATCGTATTTCAAAATTATTTTGGTCTCCTTATAGGTATACCACGGCAACAACGACCAAAACAGCGTCGTGGTAAACACTTTAATGACACCGATTGAAGCTCGCTTTGTCCGTCTTCACCCATACGCCTGGTATGGGCACATCTCCATGAGAATGGAGCTTTATGGCTGCAGTTTGAAACCAGGTAAATAAGCCAATAAAGAAAGTTCAATTTAAGCTTCTGCTTTTCTAATTCGTCAAACAGATGAAAGAATTAGTGCCCTTAGATCAGACTAGCTTTTTGAAAAAAACAAAAAAAATTAAAACAATGGAGGGAGTCAACACGTTTTAGTTTTGTGTTTATGTTTTGGTCAACAGACGATGCGTTGTTCACCGACTACTGCATTTATTCAACGAAAATGTTATTATTTTTTTATCATAGAATGTAGACGTCCACTGGGAATGGAGAATTATCGAGTTCCTGACTCAGCCATTACTTCGTCTTCTCAGGTAAACTATGATTGGGATGAATAATATGGCTTACTTCTTTACCCTTTGATAAAGAGTATTTCAAGAAACATCTTACTTCTTTTAAACGTTTCTTTTTCTTACCAAATGTCAATTATCCGAATCTATGGCATAAGCAGAACCGCTGAAGACTTCACAAGCGCAACGTTGTGTACCTTTGTGTCTCGAATTCCCTAAGCATTTGATAAAGAAAACCTCTCATTCTCTTTTCTGTCTTGAAAGAATGGAATTGTACAGCTGCAACCTTTCCATTGTTATGTGCGAGTGCCTGGCTCAGGCACTTCCTGACAGGACGCAGGCACCACGTGATTCTGAGAGGATCTAGGTCTGATCGGTCTAGTGTTACCTCTGGTACTCTACAAGGGACCATTCTCGGCCCGTTGTTATTTCTGATCTATATCAACGATAAAACCAACTGTGTTTCGTCAACTGTGAAACTTTACGCTGACGACACAAAGATCTATCGTCAATTATAGTTCACCACTAAATTTTCTCCGGTTCTTATTGGTTTAAATCGATCACGTAACGCGATAGTGTTCATCCGTGGAGAGACACTATCAGCCCATAGTGCGCGCCCGCGGAAAATACCCGGATGGATAGTGCCCGTCCGCGGAAAATACCTGGATTGATAGTACTCATCCGTGAAAAGTTTTGAATAGTTTTACGGCCGCGAAGTTAGGCAGATCGGAAAAACAGTGACTTCAATTCTGACAGGTATAACGTATTATTTAGCCAATGTACGGTTGCGAATTATTGACATTTGTGACAAGCTGTAGGCGCGGATGAAGCTTCGCTTCTCGGGCAAATATTTGTTTTAAGAACATCAAATTTCCGCGGGGCAACTATCAGCCGATAGTTCCTCGACAGAAACACTCTATTGTTTAAATAGTCGACTCTATTAAGGATCCTCAGCTTTTAAAGATGGATTTTTCTAACCTGATGGAATGGGCATGTCGAAAGTAGAGGATTTTAAGAATGTTTTTGGTTTGCATACCTTTCCGTGACAGTTGTTTTTGATTAGCATAACAAACATGTTCAAATGGTTTCTAAGTGACGTAATAGCCTAGAACTGAAAACAAAGAGGTTCTTGGGATTGAAAAAAACGTGCGAGGTAGAGATGATCCATGAAATCTGATTGGCTCTCAGCAGTGAGATTGATTCATGACGCGTACCAATTATTGCTCTAGATTGCATATCTTTTTTTTTAGGCAATGAGAAAGCAACACAAACACAATCTAACCAATCAGATTTTAAGACATTCCAAGAGATTCCGTGTCGTTGTTTAAAGAAACCAGTCAATTTTCATCGTGTGGCGAATTAAGCAACTTTTTGCCCACAAAACTAAATTTGGACGATGAAACTTCTCATTTTCAGAATGGCTGTGATAAAGTAATAATTAAACGTCGAGTCGTGCACTTTCGGTTTGAAATCATACTTTTATTTCAAATCGAACTCGCATGGTGCGTTCGGAGGCAAGACTGGCGCCTGGTCAGCTAGGACAAATGATGTAAACCAATGATATCATGTGTATAATTTCAGACCAAATTGCACTCCTCCTAGTTATTAGTCATGATTGGAAAGTTCGCCGATTTCAAGTATCTGCGAGATGTTGAATAAATGTTGGCTCAATGATGATAAATAAATTGATCGTTTTGATTCAGTGGGACGCCAACCATGGACCCTCCAATGCCAGACTTGACAGACCCAGTGGTGGAGGCAAGACTGGCGCCTGGTCAGCTAGGACAAATGATGTAAACCAATGGATTCAAGTGACATTTTCTGAAATCACTAAAGTGACAGGAGTTGGAATCCAGGGCAGATATGATTACAACCAATGGGTTACTAAGTTTAAAGTCTCTTACAGTCTTGATGGTATCCATTTCTCTACCCTAAGTAAGGTACGTCGAATTAAATCCACAATATAAAGGAATTCAAGATTATCTAGAGCCATTACTAGTCGGATATATAGGTTCTAGCTAATTCACATTATGCTAGTACACTCATGCTGATGTTATTCCTTATTACAAAGGGCTGTATCGCTGATTACGCAGTCTTATTACGTAGCCAATTTCCTTTCATTTCGTGACAAATTTAACAGGTATTCAACGGAAATAACGACCGAAACACTATCGTGGTCCCCGATTTAGAGGCACCCTTTCAAGCTCGTGTAGTCCGCATTAATCCGTTAGAATGGTATGGACATATATCCTTAAGAATGGAATTCTACGGATGCCAATTGTCATCTGGTAAGTGACATACTGTTCCTGTCTTTTAGAAAAAAATAAGAAAGGAAAAATGCGAAGGCAGATCCTAAGTTATGATCTTGCTAAATTCAATATTATCGCAGTGTAGGGACAGTTAACTTTCACTTGGCCTTCCCCGGCATAGCCGCTGATTTTGGTTACATTACATAACAACGCAGGTCAGTAGTATTTTGGTCTATCCTCTCAAAAAAGAGGCACTATGGAGTTCTATAATCTAAAAGTCTCGTTACTTACTATTTAGCCAGATTATCTCCAGCGAAAAGAAACTGTATAATCCTGCGATATACATGCTTCCTAGTTTCGTAATCATTTTGCAGCAGGGCGTATTATAGAACTAACAATCCTGCAGAGTTCACGTAAATTTGATATGCTGATTGAGAAAGGGCACTACATATTCAAGTGTTTACACGATTAAAACAAACTTCTGCTTCTTTTTATTCCGCTCATATCCAAATAAACGATTACAACAACAGAGAGAGAAAACAAAATACACTAGTATATATATGCTAATTGCTGAAAAAAGAAATTTTGAATAACAAAAGGAAAAGAAACACCTGGACCAATCATAGGTCAAATTAGCTATTCCTGTGAAATATTTCAAATTCAAAATAACAACGGCACAACATAATATGCATAATAACAACAGATGTAATAAATCTGGCGTCCACTGCACTGTTTCTAAAGCAAAAACTCTACTTATCATTATAGAATGTGCAACTCCTTTGGGAATGGAAAACAGGTTTATCCCCAATTATGCCATTACAGCTTCCTCAGAGGTAAGAACTATCCTCGTGCCTCTCGAGAACTACTGAATGTAGCCACTGTGCTGTTTAAAACGTACATCGACGTTCGATTGTCTGCTACTAAAAGAGAAATTTTCAATAACGACTGTAAGAAAAATTCCGAATGATTGAATTACGTGCATGAAACTTTTTCAGTGGAGACATCATTTTAGTATAGCCAGTTTTTTAGAACTGCTTCATTATTTATCATTTCTTCCGTCTGTGATGGGTTTAGGAACATTTCGTCAAACTCTTTTGCCAACTCTAGGTAAACTAAAACTCGATTGTAACCTAAACACTTCGTTTTCCCGCACTTCCATGCGTTTCGTTATTTGAGTTGATTTCTAATAGGTTCGTTGCGAATATTTCCTTTGCTAAGAGCTGCTCATGAGATCTCGTTTGGTTTGAAACAAGATTTCTACGACGATATCCAATACAAATATTTACCAATAAGGCTTTATTATCATTAGTATAACGAAAAATAATATTATTATCCATAGTGGGCAGCAAATCATGGTGCTTCCAATGCAAGACTTTATCGCCCAGCAGGTGGTGGAAGGACTGGTGCATGGTCTGCTAAAATAAACGACAAATCACAATGGATTCAGGTGGATCTTCGCGGGATTTATAAAGTGACAAAGGTTCTTACGCAGGGAAGGCAGGATTATGCACAGTGGGTGACCCAATTCAAAATTTCCTACAGTTTAGACGGAACTCACTTTACATCTCAGAACAAGGTGGGTGCCAAACAAATTCAGTATTTAGCGCTTCTCGCTAGAAACCAGGATAGATTACCTCCCGCCCTTATTCAGTCTGTGCTTTTGTTTCATTGACTTAAGTTTAACTGTTAGCCTCAACTGCAATTTTTTTATTAAGAATGACCACAGAGAGGACAGCTAAGGAAGACAATCACAAGAGTTTAAATGGTTAGCGCGCCGTACTCGAGATCGAAAGATTTGGGTACTTGTTCTGACCGGATTCATCGTTCAGTCTTCTCGCCGAGAGGACTTCCTCTCGCAATGCCTTTTTCTAGCATAAATGATTATTGTCAAAGAAACCTTGCAAAATGCAATAAGGTAACCCTCGATGGAATTGCATCCTCACAAGGAAGTAAGTCCCGGAGATGTGTAGGGCTACTCGCACAGTTCGTGTATAGACACAGTCCAAAAATGTAACGATACTTCATTTCTCAAGGTTTAAAAGTTCACTCCACAATCTACGGGAAGACCAAGATTTCTTTTCGAAGCAATCTGAAGCTAACAGCATTAATAAGACGTGTGTCATCAGGAACTTTATTTGTATGCCGTTTTCGCAACTTGTTTTGTCTGACGGACAAAAGTTTTGGAAAACATTTACAAAATTTTTAAACCGATCTCACTCTGGACAGTACTCATTTCTAATTCTCCCTCAATTTTGTTAATATGACCTTAAGGACGATGCAATCCCGAAAAAAGTTGAATGATCTCAGTATTCAATCTGTTTAGGTATACCAAGCGAACTCGGACCAGAATACGGTGGTGGTGAACGTTTTAGAGAAGCCCATCGATGCTCGCTTCATCCGTCTTCTTCCCCAACTTTGGCATGGTCACATTTCGTTAAGGATGGAACTGTACGGTTGCAGTTTGAAAACAGGTAGGACTTCTTAAAACGTCTCTGCCGGAAGTCCTTAGGTAGAAGTTATCGTACCACATACAAAATTTGTGTCTCATTTTGGAACAAATAATATTCAAAATACAGGAATTTTTTTTTGAAATATTAGATGAAGATCGTACAGCCAATAGAATTCGAACTCGTCACTTGTTACCTCTGGAAGACCCTTTTTTGGAGGGCACTTTCACCCAATAGTACTCTTGTTAATATTTTTCGTTTTGTTAAAAGGTGTGATATCTTTAACTTTTGTTGTCAGATTGTTCCTCGCCAATGGGAATGGAGAATAAACTGATACCGGATTTTGCAATCACCGCCTCGTCTGAGGTACGTTAGAACTTCAGTTACTGAGTATAAACAACTTAAGACTTAGGAAAAGTAATTTTCTTTTTTAACTTAATCTTAACCCGCACTTCAAGAACCCGAAAAAACGACAGTTTGGCGAATATATTATATTAGGCCTCAAATATCTGAAATTTTCTTGTACACCATTGAAACCTCTATAACTTGGTAAAATTCATCGTATACTTTCGAGTACTCATTCTCGTCAAAATGATTTTGCTTTTTTTTAACTCTAGTGGAATACAGGTCACGGAGCTAAAAATGGAAGACTGTACTTTATGGCAGGCGGAGGAAGGACTGGTGCTTGGTCTGCAAAAACAAACGACAGATCCCAATGGATTCAAGTAGATTTAGGAGAAGTTCAAAAAGTAACGCAAATTGCTAGTCAGGGGCGTTCAGACTATGCTCAGTGGGTGACGAGCTACAGAGTGTCTTACAGCACATTAGGGAAGGATTTTCAGCACCAAGATCTTGTGAGATAGTTGTTATTTGATTACTTTGTGTTAGAGGTTAAGTACATACATACTGTATCCTTCAGATAGGGGTGTTATTTTTACACAAAGTATTCTTCCTTAAAATCCAATTGGGAGATTCCAGAGTAATTTTGTGTCACCCATTAGTTATATTTTATGAAAAATTTCTTATTCGGAAAGATTTAAGTTTTAAAGTTTTTTTCTAATACTCAATTACCGTCAAATTTTAGGTTTACCGCGCCAACAGTGACCAACATAGTGTTGTTGTGAATAGTCTTGTTAAACCAATAGAGGCTCGCTTTGTCAGAATAATGGTTGAAGGATGGAAAGGTCACATTTCCATGAGGTTTGAAGTTTACGGATGCCATGTTCATGCAGGTTAGCCACGAGTCTATCACTTGTACTCACTCGTAATTATCAATCAGATATATTTGCAAACGAAAAATTTAGATAGAAAAAAACCTCCTGCAGAGGAATTTACTGACTATACGAGTGTCCTTTTCAAGGTGCTCGTCTTTTCCAAACTACATCTCAAGGAAAAAAAAAATTGGCAAGACAACGTTTCGATGTAGAGGTGGTTTTACCGGCTATAGAAACAACACATCTGCAGAGTCCAAGTTAGCAAGAGTGATCAGTTTCTCCAGAATTGCCGAGAGCCAGCAATATTGACCGTAACGTATTCCCTCGACTAAGTGCCCGGGCGCTCATTTAAAATTTTGGCCACAAGTTTAATCGAGGAAGAGCGCTTATTTAAAAATTGTTAAACTGTATTGATTCCGCTGTAGTTGAAGCATAAATAGCTATAAATAAAATGGCGATAGAAACAGGTTTTCCTTATATCCCTACCATTTTAGAAAGTGAGAGAGGAGGGGGTGCTTATTTGAGGGTGGGCGCTTATTCGAGGAAATACAGTATCATCAAAAGTACATTGCTCAGAATTCTAATGAGTTTAAAAACGCTAAGATTTACTTATAGAACATGTTAATCTAGTATTGATTTTATGAGTAAATCATCCCATGCTAGGTACCCTTAGAAATTATAGCCAGCTGCTCATGCAGTAATTAACATTTGTAAACACAAGGATAAAGATACGTTCTTTTTGACGATTCATGAGTGAAGATTCCAGGTCAAAAAACATCCTAATGGGAATTTTTTTCGAATTTGCTAATTTACAAGTTCAATATTTGCATTGGATTCTAGAGTGTGAAACGTCACTTGGACTGACCAATAAGAAATTGCCAAACTCAGCACTACGTGCCTCCTCTGAGGTAAGAGAGAATTTTTGCTGTGTCCTCTCTAAATTTAGGGCGAGCGGTGCATAAACATGTTCTCTGCTTGCAACGCAAGGTTGTGTCAAATTACTGGTGGCAGTAATTTCGAGTGCTGATAGTTGTCTCTCTGATTTTCGCAATCATTTCCTTGAAATTGAATCGTTACGATTAAAAAAGAAAAAACGTTTCGAATTCGCTTGGTTCTAAGTTCAAGTATCTTATTTTTAGTGGAATGGAGCACATGGAGCCAGCAACGCAAGACTATACCATGTGTCAGGCGGTGGCAGAACGGGAGCCTGGTCCGCCAAGGTCAATAACAAGGGGCAGTGGTTGGAAGTAGATCTTGGTGAGACGACCAAAGTTACCATGGTAGCGACTCAGGGTCGGTACGACTACGATCAGTGGGTGCAAAGCTACAAAGTGGCGCACAGCAAATATGGCGATCATTTTGAATTCCAAAACAAGGTAAGGGAAATAGCTCCACTAAAAAAATTAATTTAGGCTTAATCGTTTTCGATTAAACCTGAAATTATGATCATATTACTGCGTATTATAGAGTCACAAGTAAGTATAATTCCAAATTCAGCAACATGTTCTCCGTTGGTCACCAGGTACAGTATTCGATCGCTAGATTACATAATGTAAGACTCTAAGTGAGCTTATACTTCGTTCCTTAACCCACGCTCATGAGTAATGACATCTTTTTTATCTGGTAAATCTAATCCCGGATCTTACCAATTCATCTGAACAGGGCATACTCAATTCCAGTATTGTATGTTTTATCTTACACCTATGGAACGAGGAACGCAGTTCGTTCCTACATACGATTTGGAGCTCGGAATTCAGTCCTTTGTTTGTTCGTTTATCAGGTATACGAAGGTAACAAGGACAGGAATAGTGTAATCATCAATAAGCTGATCCAGCCAATCGAAGTTCGATTCGTTCGAATTTATCCCGAATCTTGGCATGGACACATGTCTATGAGGGCGGAATTCTATGGCTGCACAATTTCCTCAGGTAAAGTAATTCCTCTCACGATGATTTCAATTTGACAAGTTTCACCGCCAACCTACCAAGTGAAGAGGAGGTAGCTGGTACAGTTCTAAAGGTACTACAACGCACTATCACTGAACCATAACACAGTTATGCGGCCAGAGCTTGAGCCCGGCCAATCCCATTCCGGGAAATAGCCCGTTAACAACTCATTTTTAATGTTGGTTTTAGTTTTCTTTTTTATGATATGAGTATGCAGAAAATATCACGTCGAGGTTAAATTCGATAAAAAAAGTTGCAAATACCTTATAATTAACTGGTCCCTGGTTTTCATCATTAAATCCAAAAGCTGCCACTGAAATTAACATTATGTGTTTTCTCATATTAGGCTTTTTTTGTTTTTGATAGAATGCAGTTCTCCATTAGGAATGGAAAACTATCATATACCAGACTCAGCCATAACAGCTTCTTCGCTCGTAAGTATTTTGAGCGGAGCCTAAAGGAGTTTTAAAACTTTCGCTTATATCTTTGTGGAATAATGCACACATTAAGTGAACTAGATGTTCTAGATTTGAACAAGATTTT